CATACAAGAATATTAACATTTGTTGTATGTATTTAGATTCCCAAAAGCGATTTAATCCAACAGCGTATATTCGTGAACGAAATAATAAATTAAGAGAATTTGAATTACAAAAGTAAATAGTCTCAATGACGGGGACGTGTTTGTGTTGAGCGCATGTTACTGGCTTCGCAATAATTGACCAATCGTCCACCATTGTCGTTTGTTGTTTGATGATATATCTGCCGATTGCTCTTGGATTTGTTAAGTGGCTGTCTGCTCCTACTCTTGCATTTAGATCTCCAGCAAGGATTAGCATGTTGTGTGGTGGTATTTCGTTTGTGCATTTTTGTAGATCTTCGTAGAAGATGTCTTTTTCTGCGTCGCTTTTATCATTTGTTGGGGCATAAGCAACTATGATGGTCGTTGATGGATTGCCCTTAAAATGCGCGATCAAGATACGATTTTATATTTTCTCGGACGAAGTGAAGTATTTTGATACTTTGGAACTTATAAGTAGCCCTACTCCCCCTTGTCCTTCCGGCGTAGCTGAGGAATATTCAAAGCGCCATGTTGAGTTGTTTAGGACTTCGAGGTGTTTTGTTCTTGTGTTTCCCACCGATGTTCTTGGATAGCGACAAGATCGATGTTGTTCAAGGAGCATCCGAGGACGAGTTGGTGTATTTTGCCTTGATTTTTAAGGGTTCGTACGTTGTATGTTGATATTTTTATGGCCTCTCGATGTGATGCGAAGGCTTTTGTTTGTTTATTTTTGTTTCTTTTTGTTCGATTTGCAGCTGCATTGTCGAGAGCAGATGGCCGCTCTTTCATATGCTTGGAGTTGTTTAAGTTCCTTGCATGCGGGCAACAAAACGAGTTGTGGTTGCCCGAAATGGGTTCTTCGATTATTGTTTTCGGAGTCATTTGGAACGCGATTCGGGTGACTGGTCCTGAAAAGCTTTACCAGAGCCCATCTTAGCCGTCAAAGACGTTTCCATTCGGCACTACGAGGAAGTGAAGAGTTGGATTCGTCGTCAACGTCAACGTTCTGATGGTAGTACTAATCGTCAATCATTTGGCTCAAATAGGGGTTCTGATTCAGATTTTAGTGGTACGTTTATCTGTTTACTATTTTACATTTGTTTATTACTCTCTGCTTTTATAGATTATTCAGCACGTGGAAGTTTAAAAGGAAGTAAATCAACATTGAGTAAGTGTATAAAAATAATAGAATAATAATAGAAGATGGAATTAGATTGAAAATAATGTTTGTTTTTTGTTTACAGTTACAAGTTTACATTTACATGACAGTGATGATGGAGATGATAGATCATCGCGAAGAACATCAGCAAGGTACACATTGTTGTACTTAAAACAACTTTAATTCTTTATTTATAATTCTTTTTAGTAGAAAAAAAACGTCACACAGTAATCGAAATATGAAAGAATCAATTGATTCGGTAAATAATAATTCAAAACAAAGAGATTAGAATCAACTTTAAAACTGATATTTTTTTTCTAGGATTTTGAGCCAATTCCCATTATCAATGTTATTCCTAAAACGACATCATTATCGGTGAAACATACCAATCAAGAAATGTCAGGTATGCACTACTTTTGACGAAGAATGTACTGACAAGGTTCTCATTTGTCTTTATATAATACGATAGGTGGAATGGATGGTGGACATGAAATAGTCGATATTGATGAACGATTAAAATCGCTAGAAAAATTTATAAAAGAAAACTTACCTTCTTAGAAAGAGAATGTCTTTTTGTACATTTGTTTTTACTTATATTAATTATAGAAATCAATTTTTCATGTAGTTCAGTTTTGTGATATTCCAGTTCTTTTGTACATTTGTTTTTTTATATAATTTAATTAATTAATAGTATCACCTGTCAGGTATTTACACGAATCTAACCTCATGTGTTTTGGATGACCAGAATTGTTTTCATTTAACCATTATATGGAAATATATAGTGATGTCTATCTTCATCGCATTGTTCATCTATTGTACCTGTTGTTGTTCGCGGTCACCATCAGCTACAGTTTAATTGAGCATAAAAAGATAATTAAATGTTCCCAACAATAATATCTGACTAGGGTAAGTTAAAATAAAGCGGCATTAAAATTATTTAGACACACCTGGTGGACCGATATACAGTGCACTGTCATTTGGAATTATTTTGTACTTTATAGAAAATCGATGTGGAAAATCACCAAGGATTTTCCAACTTTTATTAAATCCTCAGCGATTTTCTGACTGTTTCGAAAATGTTGATTTTCTACTTTATAGAAAATCCGATCGATTTTCGGAAAAACGAAAATCAATGAAAACTTTTGAAACATATCATTCGACTCAGTTTTCGACGGTGACTCCGAATATGATATTTTTATTTCATACACTGGCACCGATTATTCAGTCTAATAGATATATCCGGAAGTTCGGAACAGAAAAAGATCGAATGTTCCGAACGAATTTCGGTGCCTGTTTTTTAACATAGAAAAGGATTCATGCATATACCATTTTGCAATCCCTGTCACTTCGTTCAAATTGCACGGTATAGACAAAAATCTGTTTCCATCGACTTCCAGAAGCGCATTTTTCCCCGAGACCCAGTGATAAAGTTATACAGAATACTTTAATCTATCATACGATGTGAAACCTGGGCAAAAAGAGATCCTCTTGAACGCATTCTATGCTTCGAAAGAATTTTAGCGATATTCCACAAATATTTTACCATTTTCATTGATCTTATAATCAACTTAGAAGGTGAACTAACAATAACATCAAGAAAAATTTGAACTATTCATACACAGCAGACTATGCTCTTCATGGTGCACCAAAATCTTTTCAAAAGCAATCGTTTTAGTGTATCATTATTAGACTTCTTTCATAACGGATGGCTCAGATTAAATAGGACAAGATCATTTTCTCTTTTTTTGGGCTACTTAAATACACTTCCAGAACTTCGTTTTACGTTCATTCGATAGAGAATTGAATTCTCTACAAAACCTACTACTTCAATCTCTGATAGCATTTTTCTTGTTTGAGTACCATTCAAAATATTAAATGGTGCTGAGTTGTCGAACTGCGACACATCGAAAATAGAAAAATATTTGCTTTGATCCGAGAACAGATTCCAGAAGAATTTTGAAAACAACAGAAGATTCATCAGAAGAATCTACATCTCCTCACAGCTGCTGGTACGATATTTGTTCAAACAACAATAGCAGACATCTGTTATCCATATTACATTGCATCCCGCTTTCATACCACCAGTATTTGCTCCTGTTTACGGTGCAATAAAAGCGGCGTTGCATAATTTTACAACGAGTTTGAGACTTGAATTTGCCGACAGTTACATAAAAATAATAGAAATTGTGTTCACCAGTGTGAAAACAAATTTGGGTGGAGGTTATAATATGTGAGAGGATTTAAATGAGTTTTGTGATGATGTTTATCGTCGACTTGAACGAGGTGAATAAGAAATTGATTATAAAATGTAGAAAAAAGTAAGATTATCATCACATGAGAAATCGATAAATTATAGTAGAAATTAAACGTGCATTTCAAAAAAGTGTCCTGAAGAAATGTAAATGAAATATTGAATGAACTAAATAATTTAAATTTTTGAATGAGCTACTCAACGTCTTGCACTTCCTTCAAACAAAATCTCCACATATTCTTTTCTTTCTACAAAGTAATGTGTGCTGTATATGAAGAAGATATTCACGTTTGGACTCTGAGTCAAACTCTGAATTAGCCATTCGATAGAGCTTAAAAGATTGTCTAAATAACATAAGTGCCAAAGTTATAGCTAATTACGTGACCCGACGGCAACTTTTGCAAAATATGCCCAAAATGGACATCCAGTGCATTTTTAGATTTACCATAAAAAATCGTTGAAAAGCATGAAAATTTCAACTTTTCCATATTCATAATGTATCTAAGCTCATACTCGTTCAAATGACACAATGCTGAGCTTTATATTTCTTTTCGTTATCGAGGTATTTGGCTTACAAGATCCGGAGGGCGGCGAAAATTCCCGACTTTGTCCTGGAAAAGTCTCCGTTTCTTTTCCATGAAAGTTATACCAGAAAGTCAGTTTAGTGTGTATTACTTACCATAGAAATTTCAAAGTACGCACATTAGAGCCTCCTAAGATCTCAAAAATAGAAGATCTCTGAAGAACCGAAATTTTCAACACATCTGCACGATATAATAGATGATTCTTCATTCTCGAGCTATCTGTCATCCTGCGTTCACGAGATATGAGTCTTTTATTATAAGAAGTCGATCACAACGCACCAAACTGAAAATATGATTTGTAACGCTCATTCTCATGAACGCACGATGATAAACAGCTCGAAAATGTTTCTTTTGAAAGAGAATTATCTGTTCAATGGCAAGGAGGTTGACTTGGACGATTTATTCCAAATCTCAGCGTGACTTAATTTTACTGCAGAAATGACTGTTATCAAATATTCAAATAAATGACTAAATTAATTTGTTACTAAGCGTGGTGGCGTCCAAGCATCGACAGATTTTGAAATTGTGGTGCCGCCCACTATATTGAGCTTTAAAACTTACTTTTATCGTATGTCACTCTTTTCGTTTTCTAACATACAGCAAGGTCGATCTATAGTTAAGAGAATCCATGTTATCAAAATGTCCTAACTTTTCCCAATTAATCGCGATTTTAGATAAAATGGCTGATTGCTCGAGAAAAATCAGACGATTTTGATGGCATGAGGCGAAACAAAATATTCTTCGACACCAACGGAATTGTAGGTACACCCTCGTATGTAATAGGCTCTTTCGCTCACGATCGTTTTATTAAAAAGAAAATAAACTCGTTTTGCTAATGGTTTACACGGTAACACGTATACACAAACATGTACGTCACTTTATGCTTCAGAAAGTCCTTGTCAATTGCCTGTTCGAGCTAAAAGATGTGGCAACAGATTGTTAGAGTGTGCTTCAATAGAAACTTCAATTCGCAAATATTCATTCTAGTTTGGATGCTGAAAATCTTCTTTAGGTCTCGTAGATTCTAAATCGATTGTCTGTTGGCTACGAACGATGTTTAAAGAGAGTACGTACAATATTGGTTTTTAGCTCATCTCATGGAGAGAGAATGATAAATTTTTTTCCATAACATCTAATTTATTCAAATATTACAACTTTTTTCTACGGTCAACTAAAGAAATTGATGTATTGTTCTTTGAACTGTTTTTTCATAATATTAAACACAACCAAAATAAGAGATAAATCATGTATACACATTGCAAATATAGAATGAATTAGAAAGTATGATTACACAAAAAACAAATGTGACATAAATGAAGTGTGAGAGAATATAAACAGATGTAAATTATTAATCTTAGAATAAAACACATTAGTGATAGAGGACATTTTATGACATTTCAATAAACTGTTTGAAGAGAAAACAACAATTCATATATTTTTATAAGAGAAAAAGTATCAATATTTTGTTTTTTTGTAAACTTACTATAGAACAGTATATTGTCATTGTACACGTATCTGAGACAAGATGAAATTTGAAAAAATTATATTTTTAATTCCAGTTCATTTTTCGACGTCCATAAAACTAAATGATGTACAATTTCATAATATTAATTTTAAACGTTAGAAAAGATAATAATAACATTTGTTTCTTACCTTTGGTTGTACAGTTGTAGCAGACACAATTCCTTTTTGTTTTTGCAATAATTGATCAAACTGTCGTTTTTCTTCTTTTTCAGCACGTTCGTGTAATTCAGCGTCCAAACGAGATTGAGCACGCTCTTGTTCAACAATTGAAATCTAGAAAATATAAAAAATAATAAGAAGAAGAAAAGTTTCATAAAAAAAAAAAGGACAACAACATCATGCATACCTGTTTTTTAATATCTTGTTTATTTTCTTCACGTTGTCTTAATTGTTTTTCTTTTTCTAATTTATTATATTCTCTTGCTTGTTGCATTTCTTTAACAAGTTCTGCTCGTCTCTCTAATGATTCTTCTTGTTGTTGTTTTAATTGTTGTAATTTTTCCATAACTTGTTGTTGACGTTCATCTAATACTTCTTTAATTAATTTTTCACGTAAACGTTTTTCACGTTCCCATTCGGCTTCACGACGTTGCCATTCTTTCGCCGCTTCTTCTCTAAAAATCAAATCAAAATTTATAAAATAATATATTAATTAGTTAGACATGAAACTTACTGAAACATAGTATCTAATTCTGCTTCTTTTTCTTTTTCGACTTTCATTTGTTGTTGAAAATCTCTTAACATTTGCTCAGCATCATGTCGTAATTGTTCACGTTGTTCGGATTGTTCTTCAAAATCTTGTGCATCTTGATACGCAATTGAAGACAGTATTTTCATATCAAGTTCCTGAAAATTAGATAAAAGAGAAAAATATGATCAGACAATATAAAATAGTTGAAATTTGAAAATACCAATTGTTCTTGAACTTCTTTCGCCTTTTTATGCATTTTTGCTTTGTGTTGACGAAGTAATTGACGACTAAAACGAATGAATATGTATCAAGATGAAAGGAATAAACTCTGCTATTATCTTCTACCCATAATCTTGTTGAGCATAACGTTTTTCCATTTCTTTTCGTTCTTCCTCAAAACGATCTAATTCCCATTGTTCTTTTAACAAACGTTCCTCCTCTTGTTTCAACATTTCAGACTAAAATAGATGAATAAAGAAGTGTAATAATTGATGTAGCAGTTATTTTCAATTGCATTATTTTATAATTCAATTAATAAATTATTTATTCAAGCTTTCAGAAAAGTTTAATTCGCATTATTAACAACAACGAGAAAAGTTCAAATAGGAACGAACACACACTTAAAGTTAAAACTTAAAACATGATTCGATTTGCATCGGATGCAGATATATATATTAAATAGTGAAAATCTTCAAATAAAAATGACTTGATTAACCGTGAGGAAAAGATAGAGAGAAAGAGAAGGAAATTTCTTCTGTGGATACTTTTATCGATGATCGCACGAATTCATCGCCTCTTTCTTCATCTAAGGGTAAAATTACGAGATTACAGAAAAACATATGGTACATGTAAACATTGGGAATCCTGTTGCTCTTCGAACTGGATTAAATGTTAGATAAGCAAAAATCGAGTATCTCAAGCTGATAAAGTATCAAGACAATTGCGATTTCGGAAATAGAAATAATATTGACTAATAAAGATGATGTTGTAATAATTAGTTTGATTCATGTCGAATGGAGAAAGAAACATTACTAATTATTGACTTTTTTTCTCTCATTTACAGTCTAGTTCTAGTCTGATTTATCAAATTGTCGAAAAACGTTCTCTTAATTACTTCACGATAATTGAAGAGATTCCATTTTTATTATAGAATACTCATCTGAGAAATGTCGTGTCATAGTCTGAAGCAAAACAAAATGTCCGTTACTAAGAATTTTTGAATTTCTTTTTAAGTAAAAATAAACTTTTGTTTTTGTTTTAGTTTTAATTTTTTTCATTACATTATGATCCTGAGTGCGTGCGGAAAAAATATTTTCTGTCCCAGAACCAGATTTAGTTTAGAAACAGTTTTTGATGCATCATGTTTCTCAACTCTTTGATGTGGAAGTCGTTTTCGGACATAAGAACTGTCACAGTGATCGCAAGAGACAGCATACAATGAAAGTGGCTGTAATAATTCGTCAAAATACTATCTTTAACTTGAAAAAAATAAACCGACTGTTTTAGATAACCTCTCTATAATCAACGAAATTAAACATATGACAAACAGTCTACAATTTTATGCTAGAAAAATCACTCTTGTATCACAAAGTTTGAACTTTTTTTCCACCTACTTCTTGCTCTTTTTCCTTCAATTCATTCATTTGTTCTAATAAAATATCTTTTAATTGATCAATTCTTTGTCTTCGTTGTTCTTGTTTATGACGTTCTTGCTCATCATCGAATCTTTGTTGCTCACGCATTTGTTCACGATATTTTTCTTCTTGTTCACGTTCAAAATCTTCTTGCTGACGTTTTTCATCAATTTGACTTGACCATTTTTCAGGATTTAGATTTTCTAATTTTTCATTTTCAATACGTCGTAAATCAGGATCATTTTGAATCCAATGATCGTACAATTTCTCACTGGCAACCTAAACAAATAACAACAGAGACATTTATTTGCTTCTTAAATTGACTTAGAAAATAGAATCATACTTGTTTTCGTTCTTCTTCTCTGACAGCTCTTAATGATTCAGCACGATTTTTCATATCCGGTATTGTTTCTCGTGATGTACGACGTATCGATGTTAATTCTTGCTGTAAAAAGAATAAATAAATAGATAAATAAGTCCTTTTTCTTAATCATCCTAATTTTACTTCAAACTTCGTTTTTTCTAAATCAAGAATATTTGCTAGACGATTTCGACGTTGTTCCAGACGATTTATTTTTATTTCTTTTTCGTTTTCTGCACGTAATGCTTCCTTACTAAAATTTCACATCACTAGTTGATTTACAATAAAAAGAGATTTTTTTTATTTCGTTGTTTTTGTTCAATCGTACCTTAAAACGGCTGATCCCGGCGATGTCCAGTGACTATGAACTGCACTCTTTGTCGACGCGGTACGAAAGTATTTAGCATTTTCAGCCAATTTTGCTCTAAACATATGCAAAGGAAAACAGCACGTTCTTTTACAATTGAGAGAATAAGATATTACTTTTTATCTGCTTCAATTTCTTGCTTTCGATGCATAATTTGTTGAGGTGTAGCAAAATGTCTTGTAGCAGAATACGATTGTAATGTTGGTAATACCATGACTAGTTTTTTTTGAAAACTTTTATCTAAACTAAACAAAAACTGATAGGCTACAAAAGTCAAAAGAGAACCTTTTATTTATGAAAAAAAATCTTTTGGTTTTGCGAGACACATTTGGTAGTAAGGTAAACTATAATTAGTAAATTAAATGATTTTAAAATGTATTATCTGAAAAAGCACGAAATTTTAATCAGCAAATATTTGTTCGAACTACATATCTAAATAAAATGCGACGATCAAAAACTTCTTAATCCGTTGTTTTCTCTGATTTAATCTAAAGGTTCAAAAATGACATTCATACAAGAAACGTCAATTTTATGATCGTAATGTACATAATAATAGTTAAAATAAAATGTGACTTTGTTGACGTATTTTTTATGTATCTGACCGAATGTTGAAAAAATGTAATCAATGGTTGGTTATTAATTTGACATCTACAACTGATAAGCGTCCAGATGATGGAGAATTTATCTTCGTATGACTTATACGTGACAGAATATAAAAACTGAAAAAATAGAATTTATAAATTCCATCAAGAAAGAAAGGATTAATTCAGATGGGTTTTCGATTCCTCACCGATAGACTATTGTGATTCAACTTTTCTTCTTTTTTCTAAATTTGAAGATGAATTTTTTGGACTCACTCGCTTGATTTTGACAAAAAAAAAATACTGAGATATTATGAATCTAATTGGAAAAGGTAAAAACTCGTTTAATGGAATTCCTCAGATAGCCATAAAGTACGTGTTTCTGCTTGTGAGAATCCGTCCATGTCAAATATAATTCCGGAAAAAGAAACGGGAAGAGACACGGCTTAGCATCCATTAGAGTAGCTGTTGTTAATGACGACTCCTTCAAATAAATTTCTTATCTTAGTTACCGTTTACTAGTCGTGTGAAATTAACCAATCAATCAACTTCATAGTTATTTAATTTATAGCATTTATTTTATTTATTTGTTTGTCTGTTGTGTTTATTTGAAGAATAAAACATAATTAATTTTACATATTCTAGTATACTTTTGTGGAGAATCAGACTTCTCATTTGTTCTAAATTAAACTCAAACATAAAAAAAGGTACACTTAAATTTGTTTATGTTTTGAGAACTATTTCTCTTTATTTAATATGATGGTATGTTTCACAAAAATCTTCCGACGAATTTATGTTAAATTCGTCACAAATTGATGAACCTTTTTCTCGTTATATGTGTAGTATTTTGACATACTTGCGATCGAGCATATATCCTGAGAATTTTGAAGTCAGAGAATGATACACGAAACCTTTGTGTGCAGAAATTGCTAAGTTTCGTTACATTATCTTCGACAACATCATTATACTGTTTTTCTTATGCCCAAAAAAAATCCGATTAAGGTCCACATTTTGTGTTTGCTAAAAATCATATACTCTATTGACGAAGTATTACAATTGCATTTGTATTTTCATCATCTCACTGAATATTCAGTTTTAATTTGACATTTACAGGCAGTTTTTTTTTTTCAATAATCATGTCAAGTTTTTATCTTGAATTATTAAAAAAAATCACTGGCAAAAGAATGTCCATTACTTACTAGTTGGCTGACTATGTGTATATCGATAGATAAATATCTTTTGGTTTGCAATTTCTATAGACAACGTTCTATCCACTTTGAGTTTAAAGTTATAGGAATTATCAATGATATTAGATTATCTCGTTAAATATTGTAATGTTGTACATTTGTAATACAAACGAAGCATCACGTACTTTATTTTGAGAATGGTAACAAACTGACTTTTCATGTGGAAGTAATGATTTCTTTGCCTTTGAAGAGCTCGACTAGTATTAGAAAACAAATTAGTTTAATTATAAGAGAAATTAGCCGTCACAAGTATTTTCTTCGACTGACAGCTAACATAACCCCAAGGTAGTTGTATTCAAACTAAAATTCATTTGTTTGTCTCATTTAGATTCTCAATCGTTATATACATTTAATCTGTCCTCGTTCATATAATAAAGCATTGGTATGATTAAACTTGCTAAAAATGAAAAAGTTCAATTCCATAACAATTTATCACAATAATCTTTCTATTTCTGATGATTAGGATAACATTTTTCATCGTCCAACTATTCGGTAGAAGGATATTTTACTAGCCGTGATAATTCAATGATTTTTAATATTAGCTCTCAAAACTGAATAGATGTTTAATCCATTTAATTTCAATTGAGAAAATTGAACAACATTCACTTCAACTTCGAATGGCATGTACTATTCGTTGATAAAATATCAAAATGATAGTGTCATTTGCTCTTATAGTAGAAAATATACGATGTCTGTCTAGTACTATAGTTAAAACAAAATGATATTTATGGGATATACACGAAGAAAACAATGTTTTATTACACTAATAATCAAACAGTGAGATGTCTACACGACAGATCGATTTGATGAAAACAATCTAAAAACACATTTGATATGTTTGTGGGTGAATATAAGAATAGGGATTATTTATGGTATATGATAGCATCACTTGTCGATGCGAATCAATGATTAACGATAAATAGTTGTAGTTTACTTCAATTTATTATATTATAGAATGGCAATGGCCAAAGAGAATAACAAAACTCAACAAAAGAAATTTGTTGAAATCACAGATCAACCGGTATGTAAGGACATGATGCACATGAACTGGGTTTGTCCCAACGTTCGGAGATGCACATATGAGTTATCAATTTCCCGGGTGTCTGGTATTCGTATCTCCGCCCGTAGACACTCGCTCTCGACCCAACCA